CCAGATCATCACATGCAATGAGATGTCAGGCCCCTCATTCTTCATGATTTCTTCCTTGCCCCTCCCTAGTTCCTGTTTTCTTACATATTGTTACATTTCTTCCCTGCTAACCCCTAGTTTTAATCAGTCAGGGAGGTGGACTTGAGGCTGATCTCCTATCTCCTGGACAGCAGCACCTGATTAAAGCCTTCTTCCTTGGCAATATTCATTGTCTTGGTGATTGGCTTTCTGTGCAGTGAGCAGCAGGACCTCGATGAACCCCTGGTTTTCCGTAACAAATCATTGTTTGCTCAAATAAACTCTTTAAATTTTTATGGTGCCTCAGTTTATGTTTTAACAATATTCAGCATTTATAACTAAAAGACCACAGCATACATCAAGAAAAAAAATTAAAACACATCTTATGTGTCTTACTTAGTATATCATTGGAAAACAATCATGATATTTTACATTTTCTACCTGACACTAAAATGTCACTGATGTCTCTTCTTCAGGCCTGATTTATCAGGCACAGCAGGCACCGAGCCCAGGGCCCACAGTTCTTCTAAGGGCCTTTGAAAATATTTTAATTTATTTTAAAAACAAGAAGACGATAAAATCACAAACTTTTAGGTAGTGGAAAAATTTTAATATGTACTATGAATAATTCCATCTTTATGCCAATATGTTTTAAAATGCATTTTTTATGGAAAAGAGAGGGGGGAGGTCCAAAAGTGCCCAAAGCCCATGGAAGTCACAATATATTTCTGTTTTTCTCCCCACATTAGTTTCTCCATGTTCCAGGAATTTTATTATCAGTCTCAGCCTTGCTGTTCTGGGCAGGAAGAAATGAAAGAAGGAGGAAGGAAGCCACGTCTCCTGAACACTGCCCATGTGCCCAGCACAGTGACTGCTGTTGTGTAGTCAGCATCTCATCGGGGAGGACAGGTGAGTCTCCAAGAAGACATATCCAATCAGCCGAGCTACAATTCAATCATTGATCTTTAAAAAACTAGCCCCCAAAACATAATGTCAAGCAGTGGAAATGGCTATATTGATGGATATCTTGATTTGGATGTACATCAGGATACACCCAAATGCCACGTGTAGTGCTCAGGGTCCCCCAACATGACTGGCCTCTGCACAGTCAAACCCTTGAATACAAGGCAGGCAGTGTGCACAGAAGAAACCCAGAGCCTTCTTGGCAATGATTTGAGTTGCATACTCTGTCTCCTCTTTTCATGCAGTTTTACTTTCTGCTTAAAGTAAAACATCCCAAGAAGCTTCCTCACTGCTTTTTCTGCCTCCTGTTACCCACCCTGATTTGAGACTCCACTTTTGCAATGTCACAGTCTGCCAACTAAACACCAAACCCCGGGTCCCCACATGCATGTCAGCTCCACAAGAAGCTTCATCCTGACATTGACCCTCCCACCCATCGGTGCATCCACCGAGTGTGTCACCAGCAAGATCAATCCCACGCTGCTCAGCACCGTTAGAAACCAAGACTAATAAATCATTTGCCCGCTCTCAGCCCACAGATGGTAAGTGTGGTTCGATACAGGTAATTATTTAAAAAAATGACTTTGGGAGCAAAAAATCAAAACATGGGAGTATGTGTCTGATAGAAAAGGCCTGCAAAGAGATTTGGGAGTTCTAATGACTCCAAGGAGCGGGTGAAAGGTCCTAGCGCCTGACAGTAGCTGGGCAGTCTGGTTGACAGAATTGATTCCTTCTCCCCTCAACACCGCCGGGCCTTGTGTCTGCTCGCCTCCAGGTCCCCCGTGCCAGGCGTGGGGAGGTGGGGGCCAGAGTATTCCCTCCTGCCTTAATGTGTTTGCAGAAAACAGCCCCCACCAACCCATCAATTACCAAGACTGTCAGTCCCGGAGAAGGTGTTGTGACAGTGATGGGGTCAGGTAAAGCCTTAGGGGCTACAACGAGACACATTAAACCAGTCTTTATGTCGCCACCTTCTGTCCCCTGTTAACACCCCCCTCAAAGTACACATTTTTCTTTTCCCTTTAACTTTCACAAGGATGTTTCTTGTTTCCGCAAAAAGTAGCATGGATGGCATGTCTTTATTATTACAGCTGTCATTCATTAGAGTGACCTGTGCTCCCCTAGGCTCTGAGTTCCCTCTCTGTCCCCAAGCATGAATGGGCTGGCTGATGCTTCTGTCCTTCCACCACTTCATAAAGAGAACATCTCTTAAGAGACTGCAAGCGTCCTCCTGCTAGAGGTGAGAGATAAAAGACCAACCCTCCTCTCAAATTTCCTCAAAACATTTTATTCATTTGCTGCAGAAGGAGAGTTTCTGGATGTCATTCAGAACTGAAAATTTCATATCAGTTATCAAAAAAAAAAAAGTTCTCATAACTTTGCTGGTGGAAAATGGCCTATGCCCAAGCAGAATTCAACCATAGTTCCTTGGGCCCCTGCAATCGAATGTCACCCGCAAACACCGTTAACCCAGGCGATTCCACGTTCTCCAGAAATGTATAAATATCGCTTGATGCCCCAAACAGCCCATGAGTAGGTTAATTCAGTCCATGAGTGAACTAAGTGTGTAAAAATAATTCAATCCATTGTCTGACAGAACTGATCCATTACTGTTCACTGATTCAACAACTGTTCACTGAGTACCCATTCCGCGTTAGGGAATGTGTGAGCCATTCAGGATACAGAAAAAAAAGTTCCAGTTCCAACTAACTTCAAGGAAATCACAACCAAAAGTTTCACACCTAGGTAGACAGCTTAGGTGATTTTTTTAATACAGCAAGAAAAAGTGGAATTCATGTAAACAGATGAAAGGTATCCCAGAAAAAAAAAAAAATAGCACTAGAAAAAGTACGTTCTCACCCCAGGTAAAAGAAAAAAACTTTTATAAGTTCATGCTGCAGAATTTACCTTGAGCTGTGAAAGATATCAAGTTGTGTACTTTAGAAATCTGCTGAAGCCTACAAATTATATTAAAAGGCATGGAAGCAAAGTTAAGTGCTTTAGCTTCAGAAGAAATGCAGTCAGCGCCCTGGAACCAATTCCCAGGAGAATGCCGTGGTTCTCACAACCCAGCAAGCTAGTCAACAAGTCCAGGCAGGGACGTGAATTCACCTCCCATTCCAGACACTGATGAAATAGCACTTCCTGCTACTCTTAAATATGTTAATCCCCATTTCAAATATCTACAAGGCAAGTCTAGAGAGGGAGATGACAACTATTCTTAGAATGTACTTATTTTTCTTTAAATACAGAAAATATTCAAATCCAGTATATATAGACTTATGATCGCCACAAACTGATCAACAGTTAGTTGATTTGCCAAGCTACCTTTACGTGGCTTTTTGAGTCAACCTCATACATAGTTTGAAGAATTTGCTGTGTTTATAGGTCTAAAACAATTAATTTATAAGCTCCAGTAACAATTCCTCAAAATGCTGAAAACCAAACACACACACACACACACACACACACACACACACACACACACACGCTCCAGCTCCCTAAGGTCTTTTGCTTTGCTTCCTGGGGCCCACATAGGCAAGAGGGCCAGGAGCTTCAGCTTAATTAGCACCTTTTTATACCAAAGCCTCTCAAGGTGAGGTGCAAAATATGCAGTAATCATTTAACAGCTCAGTCAGCTGTGCCAAACTAACAGATGATAAGGAACAAAAGGAGAAAGACTCCTTCATTGCAGACGTGCTAAAGGAAAGCTGTGGCATGTGACCAAATAACCTTGAGTGTTCATCACCTGTGTATTACACAAATGACCCCACAGAAAGAAAAAAATGTTATTAAAAAGCAGCAACAAAAACAAAACAGTATCAGGCACAAACCAATGAAAACATTCTCATGAAATGGCTCTCTGGGAATTTTCTAACATTTCTTCTGGGTCACCATCTGAACCCACCTGGGGGAGTACAGGCCATGAGAATACACTTGAGATTCAGCAAAAATAATTAAGAGGTTGTATAATTGACCATATTGCACATCTCACCTCTGGGGTTGGGGGTCCCCTGGTTCAAGACCCCAAGTGGGATACAAGGTCACACCCAGTGAGGGCCATTCTCTCACCTCCCTGACCATCCAGGTGGAAATTAAAGATCCCAGGATACTTTTCAAAATAGCACAGGGGATCACCCAGCTGTCTGGACCAGCAGTCCCCAGTCTCAATAAAATCCAACTTAATGTTCCCGGCTGGGAATGAGCCCTTCTCGAACATAGAGAAAGTCTGTACTCATGGACACAATTATGAAACTGTCCTTTGAGCACTGTAATTACTTTATAATTCACAGAGGACTTGAGATACTTGGAGAGTGAAGGATGCTATGAAAAAGTCAATTCGATTGTAATTTATAATTGAATTTATCCACAGAGAAACAAGTGATCACTAAACGAAAGTATCTTCTAGGGAGCAAATTTACAGGTGTAGCTTTTACAACTACCAGTGGCTTAGCTCCAAGAAAATTCAAATTCCAAAGTGATAGCTTTCCACAAAAAAACATAACTTCAGAGTTGAGTATTTGTATTAAAAAAATTCTCACCAAGTAGTATTTTTGTAGCTCAATCCCCCACTAGTTTAATATATACTCAAGTTAGGGGAAATAGACCTAATGTGTAAAGAAGGTGACCCTAAACAGTTTCCATCACCTCCTCCTAGTTAATCTTTAAATAGCAATGGTTAGACATTGTGTGTTTTGTATACGAATTAAGAAAGGCTAAACCTACAAACTACATTCATCTTATATTAATTGACTACAAAGAAAATACTGAGAGGTAAATATTAAGAATGTCTTAAAGGGAAACTAATATCAACGTTTTATGCAGCAAACCTCATATGAACAGTCATAAATGACATTGCTAAATTTAAACACTGCATCCATAATCCACCTTTCAGCCCATGATCTGAAAGATATTTGTAATATATGGGCAAGCAGAGTTCTGAGAGAAAAGTGTAAGCAAAGGATAGGGCAATTTAAAATTAAAATTATCACTATATAAAAAGTTATCTCAAAACTTACCAACTTGAAACAACATTTACTATATCATAGTTTCTCTGAGTCAAGACTTCAGCAGTGGCCTAGCTGGGACCACAATCAAGTGTCAGCAGGGCATGGGGTCCCATCTCAAGGTTTGACTGAGTATGGATCCACTTCCAAGCTTACACACAGAGTTGTTTGCAGGATTCAGTTCCACACAGGCTGTTGGACTGAGGGCTTCAGTTCCTCCTGGACTGTTGGCCAGAGGCCTGCCTCACTTCCTTCCACATGGGCCTCTCCTAGAGCAGCTCACAACATAGCAGTTGCCTTCCTCAATGCAAGAAGCAAAAGAAGAAGATGGTGAATAATGGGGAAGGAAGTCAGAGCCTTTCTGTACCCTAATCCCAGAATGATATCCATCACATTTTTAGTATTTTATTTGCCAGAAATGAGTCACTTGGTTCAGTCACTTGGAGGTCAGTGGGGACCATCTCAGACAGAGGCTGCCTGCCCCAGGTAGGTGCCTGTGTAGTAAAGAATTAACTCTACCCAAAGAGCAGCAGTCTAGCCTTTGAATCTCTAAATCCTTGGAATTTCCTGAGTGATAGCAGTGCCTTTGTTATTCATGGTGGACCCCTCTTATGCTGATGAGGTGACTCATTGTGGGCCCCTGGAGAGTTTGTGCTCATAGATGACTAAGGGTGAAAGCTGGCCACCTTGAAAGCCCAGTGAGATTAGAGGATTGGGACATTCAATCAGGTAATCAGCTGGTCAAGGATTCCATCAATCATGCCTACATAATGAAACCCCAATAAAAACTCTGGACACTGATATTTGGTGACTGCTATGATCTGAATGTCCCCCCAAAATTTATGTGTTGAAATGTAATCACCAATGTGATAGTATTAAGAGGTGGGGCCTTTTGGAGTAGATTCAGGCATAAGGGCAGAGCCCTCACGGATGGAATTAGGATCCTTATAAAAGGGCTTGAAGGAGTGAGTTTGCTCTCTTCTGGTCTTCTGCCTTCTAAGGTCACTGAGACAGTGTCACCTATGAGGAGAGGGCCCTCACCAGACACTGGCACCTGGAGCTTGGACTTCCCAGCCTCCAGAACTGTGAAAAATAAATATGTGTTCTTTATGTATAGTACATAGTCTATGATATTTTATTGGAGCAGCACAAAGTGACTAAGACAGTGACCTTCATAGGCTGACAATGCTGCACATTATCACACTTCAACAACAGGAGGGTAACACATCCCTGAGGACACTGAAGCTTTACATTTGTGACCTTCTGAGTCTCAAATCCTGTCCCATGTGTCTCTTCCTTTGACTGGCTCTAATTTGTGTCCTTTTGCTATAATAAAACTGTAATTTTAAGTATGGTGCTTTCCTGCATTCGGTGAGTCATTCTGGCAATTTATCAAATCTGAGGGAGTCCATGGGAACCCCTAAATTTGTTGTTACCTTTTCTCATGTGAGGATGGCCCTGGGGACTCCCAAACTTGAAAGTGGGGTCAGAAGTCTTGGGGAGACTTGACAGTCTTGGAAGACTGTGCCCTTAACCTTGAGTTTGGCTGCCACCAAGTTAATACCCGAAAGACTTTTGCTGTTCCATTTATTCCAAAAGGAATTAACTATTTGGTTTGTTCATTTGTTTAGGTTTTAGTCTTTCTTCTCTTTTTGAAGACAATTTCCTCAAGAGATATCCTAGATAAGCAAGTGGGGAAACTATTACCACTTTTTAGAGGACACCAGCCTCATCAAGTGATCATCCCCAGGCTAACAGAGCTCCTTCTAGGGCTATGGTAACCACTGGGTTGGTGCAGGAGAGCTGGAAAGTGAACATGACAATGGCGTGCCCTTTATGAATCCCACCAAACACAATAGCAGCTAAATTATTGAAATGTTTGTCAATTTATTGCCACAGCAAATATTTTGAGATTTCTAGCTCAATGTATTCTACTGAGCATATTTTAGACAATATGAATTTTAGATCATTCCTTCATTATACTCCCTCTTTTTAATAAATGTTTACTGAGAGCATTCTATCTGCCAGGCACTGACGTAAGTGCTTCCCAGTATGACCTTATTTAATCCACAAAAATTATTCCTGAGGTTGTTGTCTGTTACTGCAGTAACCTTATTTTACAGATGAAGAAAGTGAGGAGCAAAGAGATTAAGGCCACAAGAAAAATAAAATTCTAAATTCACATTGAAAAGCAAGTGAGCAGATATTCTACCAGTTCTTCTTAGGGTCACTTTTACTTGGAATATAAAATTGACAGGCACTAGACTCTGTTTTTTCATTACCATGGACTAATCACTGTAAATTTAATTGATTTTAAAGGCAACTGAAATTATGTGCAAAAGAAAGGAAAACTATTAATATTTCTTAGAAAAGGGATTGCAAGCTCAACAGCTTCTGGGGCCAGGCAGATAATGTGAGTGAATAAGGGAAGCAGTTGGGGCGGGGGCCCAGTGAGCCCAGGAATGCCAGCCCCTCTACAGAATGCAAGAAACACAGGTACCCCATCGCTGCCTGTGGGAATAGGGTCCAGCATTGCCTAACCACAGGCTTTTCAAGAAAAACCCAGGAATCTGAAGTTTAAAAAAAAAAATTCCTTATTTTTAAATGTTGGCCACAAGCTCTTGTTTTAATTTCTAAGCTAAACAAAACACACCAGTGGTTCAGAAGTTGACCTAGAAAAAATAACTAAGAGAACAAATGTTATTTTGGCTCATTTGATCCCTGTCAAGAATCAAACCAGGTTATCCTGGCTCCTGGTTGGGGCCAAAATGGCTTGACTCTATGGTGTGGACCACTTCACAAATAAGCTCTTCACCTTGTAAACTTTGCAGACACAGAGCTGACCAACTGGAGACAGCTAAGAAAGGAACCATGACGTCATGAGCTCTTGAGGTTGGGAAAAATCATAAAAAGACCGGATCCATTGAAGAAATCCCTTCCACCCACATCTCTAGCAAATAATTATCCAGATTATCCCAGAATCTTCTAGGGGATTAATCTAAGGGATTCTTGAATCTATGGGAATTAATCTGAAGATATCTCATCTCCCTTCTAATGAGCTCCAGTCATTATGAAATTCTTCCTAATACTGGCTTGAAGTGTGCCCTGCACTCAGGCATCCTAGTTCACTTCCCTGGATCCAGCTGACGGTACCAGCCTCTTTGCACCTGACAGCCTTTCCCATATTCATAAACACCCTCTACACCAAGATTTATCTTACCTTACAGCCCTTCCAAGTAGGAGCTCCTCAGTATCTAGTTACCCTCTTCTGACCTAGCTTCATAATATAAGTCTTCCCTTTAAAACATTGCACCTAGAACTAAACATGCAGAAGATGAGCTCAAACTGCTTCTCAAAAAAAAAAAATCCCACCAAACAAGGCCATGCTACAGTTTGCCAATGGGAGAATCCACAACACACTTTTTGACCAACTTAGATATAAATTTGAAGAATTAGAATGAAATAGTGAAAAGTCTACTTTAAAATTTGAATTTGGTAATTTAGGAATTAAATTACATATTTATTCTGAATCACACATTCTAATAGATCAATTTAGAAGCATAGCTTTTCTGGTTGGATGTGGTGGCTCATGCCTGTTAATCCCAGCACTTTGGGAGGTGAAGGCAGGAGGATCACCTGAGATCAGGAGTTCAAGACCAGCCTGGGCACCATAGTGGGACCCCCATCTCAACAACAACCACAAAATAAAAACGTGGCTTTTCTTTTCTACACACGTCATCAAAAAAAATTATTCACTCTTCATTTGCATCATTACATCATCCCTGCCATCACTGGAGCCACCTTCAGAGTCACATAAATAAAACAGATTTCCAGAACATATCTTTAGCTCTAAATTGCTCAAAGTGTAGTATTTTTAAAAAGTTTCAGCCAGGCGCAGTGGCTCACGCCTGTAATCCTAGCACTTTGGGAGGCTGAGGTGGGCGGATCACGAGGTCAGCAGATCGTGACCATTCTGGCTAACACGGTGAAACTGTCTCCATTAAAAATACAAAAAATTAGCCTGTAGTCCCAGCTACTCGGAAGGCTGAGTCAGGAGAAGGGCGTGAACCTGGGAGGCGGAGCTTGCAGTGAGCGGAGATAGCGCCACTGCACTCCAGCCTGGGCGACACAGCGAGACTCCGTCTCAAAAAAACAAAAAAAAAAATTCATTTAAGTAAAACATACATATACAGAAAAAGGCACAAATCATTCGTGTTTGGCTCATTGATTTTGCTCAAAGTGAGCCAACAGAACGACTCTGGCCCTCATTACAAACCAGTGCCCCAGAAGCCCCGCCCTTTTCCTCTTCAGAGGGAAACCGTTATCCTGACTCCTACCACAGCAGTTTAAAGGTACCTGCTTTTGAATTTTATGTAAGAGTTATTTGTGTCTAGTTTCTTTTAGTCAATATTATGCTCATGAGAGTCATCCATACTATTTTATATTGTAGTTACACTTGTAGTTCAAGGTTTAAGTTTACATCTGTATGTGGTGCATTTACTATGTTGTTCCCCCAAGCCACAAGTGTCTATTTGCATAATATTAGGCAGCTGGGCTTTTGAAATTCATCTCATAGGTTTATAGATGTGTGATTTCCACAATATAACCCCCTATTTGTTGGCTTTGTCAAGTGATTTCTAAAAATCAATAAAAAACTTGTTTAAATCAACATTTTGCATTTAAAACTGTGAGGTCATACACCCAGGAATAATCACTAAATTGATGTGAAATTTCTTTGCCTCCTTTTTTTTTAACTAATTCTGTCAAGGGGCCTCTGTAAGCCTCAAAACTGGCATTGATGGAGGTAATATGTCTTCATAATACAGTATATTCTTGTTTCCTGTAATATGAGAGACTTATTAGACCTTAAATATAAGGTGGCTTTTTTTCCGATGCATAATTTTTGGAGGAAAAGCTCATTATATATTCAGGCATAAATTGTGTCTCATATTAACCTCTTATCACTTGGGTTCCAATATTTTCTCTTATTGAACCTATGGTTAGCTAAAATACCCAGATTTTTTGCTCATGAGTTCCTACAGAACTATTTATTGCCAGAGTATATTTCTATTTATATTTATACTTTTAACTAAGTATAAATTCCATATTAAGATCATCATATACCTCCATGTACATAATGCTAGGGATTTTTCAAAGCACTTTCAAATGCATTATCACAATAATTCAGTGCAATAGCCCAGGGAATGAATTGTTATGCACATTTTATACATATGAATATAATTATCACCGATGGATTTCAACATGTTTGAAGGGATAATGCTGATGTTTTATAAAAGGCTCCTTCAAATGGAAAAGAACACTATCTAGCAAAATCAAAAGTCATGATATTTGAATATTCCCTGAAAAATACAAAAAGTAAGCTAGCACACAGCAAAATATTATTGTGATAAATAAAAGAAAAGCAAATTCAAACAATAATGAGGACCATTTTAGACTTAGTTAATGAATGAGGCAGAATCCAACAGT